TTTACTCACCCGTCGCTTCTGTGGCACCACCGTCTAGATCACCCCGCTCTCACCCGTCTCTTTCACATGTCCCAGCTCAGTCTTGTCTTAGGTCTCCCTGAGTCATTCCCTGCGCTCCCCTCCTCACCAGCACCGCCGTGCACGCCCTGCGTCGAGGGCCGGCTCCGCCGTGCCCCTCACTCCTCCTCGTTCCCCCCCACCGCCGCACTGCTGCACACCTTGCACATGGACGTCTGGGGCCCCGCCCCCGTCCATGGGCCGCGTCGTGAGCGCTACTTCCTAGTGCTTGTCGACGACTACACGCGCTACACCACCGTGTTTCCTTCAGAGTGGAAGGCTGACGTGCCTGGCATTCTTATCCCGTGGCTTGTCTTTGCGCATGTGCACCGAGGTCTCCCTATGTTGCGTCTTCACTCCGACCATAGTGGCAAGTTCGCCTGTGGCTGCCTTGGTCGCTTTAGTCGTGCGAAGGGCATCACCCAGACGTACACCCTTCCGGACTCCTTGCAGCAGAATGGGGTCGCTGAGCGACGCATCGGTTTGGTAATGGAGATGGCGGAACCATCAGGACCCTTGCGGAATCACAATTTGCCACAGACTCGGACGACGACGTGCAAGAGGTCACCCACGATGGCCATCGTAGCCTCAGATTCTCCAGTCTTCACATCCTCGGCCTTCATGCAACAGTCCAAAAAAATCCCTCCGTGATTGAAAACACCGTGACAAGCTCTTATTGGACCCCACTGCGCCAAATGGCGCAAGGCCATGGACGCGGAACTTGCTCTACGCTCCCAAAACACCTGGGTCCTAGTAGACCGCGCTAAAGTGAAGGGGAGGAAGATCCTTACCAGAAAATGGGTCTACCGCGCTAAAACAGATGCACACGGAAAATGTCAGCAAATGGCATCATGAAGGATCCCCTGGACCGTCTGCTCTCTCCCCTGCTCTTCCTTCTATGCTCCTCCAGCTTCTTCGCAGGTGCTCTTCGGTGGTGTTTGATACTGTCTGCCCACTATGAAAAGTATGGCTACCGCATCCGAGCTACCATAGCCACGCCCTAGCCTTCCTCTCAACAGTCTCCTGCCTTCGAACAGGTCACTTGGGTTAAGTGAGACTTTATTCATACATGCAAGAAACAAATAAGCGAACATGATTCAAAACGGTAGCAGCTACCCTATGTACAATTGCTACTGCTAGGCAAATCCTGTGAAGCGGGATGGATCCCCGTCCTGTCGACCGTTTCAGGCATTCCATGCTATGGTACACATTCGCAAGCATGCATACGTCATTCCAGTACAAGCTCCTCCAGACGCCACCCAACCTGATCCCTTGGTCTTGCCAAGTGCACTCCCCTCGCCCTATTAGAACACCGTTTCCGTGTCACCTTGGATTCACCCCATTGCCCTTCCTCCTCGGTATGTATTGATGGTTCGGTTCAAACTGGTTCCTGCCGAACCTTCATCCTCGCGAGCAATCATACCCCTCTGTACAGCTACACCGCTATGCTCCAAAACTACTTGCTTAAATCTCTGTTGTAGAAATGGGAGGCAAACCAGTTATGCGACAGCTTTCGGCAAATGGCATCCTGAAGGCTCCCCTGGATTGTCTGCTCCTTCCCCTGCTCCTCCTTCAATGCTCCTCCAGCTTCTTCGCAGGTGCTCTTCGGTGGTGTTTGATATTGTCTGCCCATTTGCCCCCTCCCTGTGGCGCCTAGCCCCCGACTAGCCACCGGGACCACTTACTGCCAAACGCACTCCTCGCGCCTTTGCTACGTTAGTCACGTGATCCCGCCTGGTTCCTCCATCTGCATTTTCAAGTACTAGGACTCCCGAGGGCTTCACTTCTTTCACCCTCCAGCGCTTTGTCATCAGACCAACATCTAGTTGATCGTGCTTCATCTTGCGCAGATAGACCTCATGTTCTAACTCCACCGCAGCTCCTATCTGCCTCCCTCCCTACTGCTGTCGCTACTGGTACCTCTTAGCATCTCTCAGCTAAGTTTTATGCAGGTTCTCCAACGATGCTGGCAGCAACGCCTTCGAGTATTTGGCTAGGCTTCTGCCAGTGCCGCCCACTATTCTGGGTCCTCCGATATCACCACATCTCGCAGCAACTTGGGTGTTCCTACAGGCAGTATCGGCTCTCTCCCATAGAGCAGATAGTACGGGGACAAGTCCCGCGGAGCCGCCTGCTTGCTGAAGCGATAACCTGCAGCCACCCTCTGCAGTTCTTCATCCCAGTTCTGCTTGTGATCCTCTCCATAGGCTCTCAGTTCTCGCTTCAACGTCTGCACCATCCGCTCCGTCAAACCGTTGCCCTGGGGCTGATACCTCGACGTGTGCCGATGCATAATTCCCACCTCCCCCAGCATTTTGTCAAAGGCACCGAGGAACTCGGTCCCTTGGTCGGTCACTACTTCTCCGCAGGCCCCGAATCGGGTCAGGACCTGGTCCACGAATGCCTGGGCCTCAAGAGCGGAGTTTTTGCTGCGCAGAGCTCGTACTTCGATCCACTTGCAGGCATGCTCGATCATGACCATAATGTACTTCTTGCCCTTCTTGCTCGCTGGGAGCTCCCCCGCCATGTCTAAAGACCATCAGAATCCCTAATCCTAGATCTCCAGCGACCTCAACTGCCCCCTGTCCTATTCCAGTCGGGCTCGGTTGCGACTACATGCCTCGCATTTGCCAACCACTGCTTTGACCTGCCTCCCCATGCCTGCCCACCCTTGTTCCGCTGCCACCAGATGCACCGTTCTTGCATGCTTGAAGTGCCCCAGCTTACTGTGCACCCTTCTTATCACTTCCTCCCTTTCCTCTGGTCTAGGCACCAGCTTCCATCCTTCCTTGGTCAACAGCTGCAACTGACCTCCATACCAGCGGTAATGCTGCCCCCGGCTCCTTGCCCTTTCACTCATCTCTCATGTTTCTCCAGCCTCTGCCTTGATCCACGCCAGCGATTCCTCATCTAGCCATACGTCTTCTGGGCTGGCCCCGCCTGCCCTCTCTACGCATGTCCTCTCTATCTCTAGTACAGTCAAAAAGGTTGCTGCAACGTCTTCCCAGGGTGATGGCGAATCGTGATATCATTTTCTTGCAACCTCATCGCCCACCTTGCATTTCTGCCTGTCAGAGTCTAGCTCTTCATGAGGAACGTGAGGGGCTGATGGTCGGTCACTAGTGTGAACCGCCCCCCCTGCAAGTACTGTACATGCGGAAATGCTATACCGCCCATACCACCGCCAGACCCTCTCCCTCGTAGGAGCTATAGTTGGCTTCTGTGGCCGTGCAGCTTCAGCTGGCAAATGCCACCACTCTCTCTCCGTCTTTCCCCTCTTGGGCTAGCACAGCTCCGATGCCCGCACTGCTCCAGTCGGTGTAGAGGGTGAAGGGATCATTGCTGTTTGGCAGATGCAGCACAGGCCTACTCTTCACTGCCTCGAGCAGATCCTTCAATGCCCGCCCCTTGGTCTTTCCCCACTGCCACGCCTTGTCCTCTCTCAGGAGCGCGTGTAGTGGCGCTGCCCTTCGGCTAAAGTTCGGAATATACATCCGATAGTAGTTGAGGAAGCCCAGCACCGCCCTCAGAGTGCTCTTGTCCTTTGGTGTGGCTATTCTGTCAAGGATAGCCACCTTCGCTTCCTAAATGGTCATGCGGCCTGCATTGACCTCAAATCCCAGATACTGCACGTCCTTCTGCCCAAAACGACATTTGCCCGGGTGGTAGGTGAGCCCCACCTCTTGGATCGCATCCAGCACCTGCCTCACATGCTGGATGTGCTCCTACGGAGTCTGGCTGAAGATGATGACATCATCAATGTAGCAGGCGGCAAACTCCAGTCCCTTCAACACCCGATCCATGATGCGCTGGAACACTGCTGATGCATTGCGCATCCCGAATGACATGAAACGCCATTTTCACAACCCATCCGGCCCACAGAAAGCAGTTTTCTTGTGGTCCTCCTCCCTCATTGGGATCTGGTTGAACCCTTGCCTCATATGGATTGTGGAGTGCACCACCGCCCCCCACAGCTTTGCGAATATCTCCTCAACTGACGGCATAGCGTACCTACCGGGCTATGTTACAGTGATGGAAAAAACAATTGTCCGGATGTTTTGCATTAATTAGGGATGCTTTTGTTGTGTGGTGTCATCATATGCTATCACATTCTGTCTGCCTCCCATCTCTTGTTTCAATTCGTATGTATGGTTTGACTGTGTGTGAAAGAATTTGTGTGTGGTGTGTTCTGGAGTTTGGGAATGTGTTTTGTGTTATTCTGTCTGAGCAGGTATTTGTGATGATAGATCTTGAGAAGATCTTTCCGACGCAACAAGAATCGCTTCAATCGGAGCAAGAACGCGAAAGCTATGAAGATTCAAAGTTCATGAGCTTGCGTTACAATTGCGGCGGTTACAAAGTGAAGTTGTGGGGTGACTCTATATGGAATTGGGACCTTTGGGGTTGGGGAAATTTGTCACTCTACTGTAACAGCTGCAAATTGGTTGGGAACAACCAAGCTAGGTTGGCAAGGGTGGCCAACTTGGATGGATTGGTTGGGAAGGGACAAATGTCAAAATTGGGGTTCCTATAGGGAGGGAATCTTTGTGCTTATGGGGTTTCCTTGGTTGGGGACTCTCTTGGGACCTTCCCTCTCGTCCCTCTCTTTCTATCCCAACCTTTCTCTTGCTCCTCCAATTCCTTGTGAGATTCTTGAACCTTGATTGAACTTTTGAGATTGAGTTAAGTTCTCCTCCTACAGCTTACCCCTCAGTGCGTCGAAAGACATAGCGTCGCGAATACTTCATAAATCGACGTGATTCAAATTGGGAACGGTAGCTGAGATTAAGAGCTACAACATCTCCAAGTTTCGCGACATTCCAACGGCTAGTTTTTTGTCGACGTCGTTTCTTGTGAAGACGACTTTTCTGTCCAGAATTTCGGATTTATATTTTGAGTATTTCTAGCTCCTAAGCACACCTAGACTCCGTCCTTAATCCTAACAAGTGGTATCAGAGCGATATTAAGGACATTGAGAGGAGTCTACAGAAGTTTGAAGACCCTTCTAGACCCACCATGGCCTGTGGGTGTGCCTAAGTGGTGTTCTAAAGGTTGGATGTGTCTTCCGCTAAGGGGAAACTCTGCCGAAATTTCGTGGACGCCGACACTTGTGAAAATATCGAGGGAGCTAAGTGTGGACAGCAAAGGGGAGCTGAAATTCGTCATTTCTCAAGGAGAAGATGAATGAGAGAGGAGGAGATGCTAATGGAAGAGGAGCTGTAGCTGAGAAGACAAGTGAGCCGCCGCCATCAAAAGTTGAAGCTTTGGATGGCTCCAACTATGAGGAATGGAGCGGGCGGATGAGGAGTGCCTTCAAACGCTACAAGCTCCTGAAGATTGCTGTTGGGGAAGAGAAGATGCCGGAAGAAGGCGAAGCACGTGAACGGTGGATTGAGAAAAGCGCGGTGCTTTTCGACCTCATCCTTCAATCGGTCAACAAGGAGATGTTCGAGCACATCAAGGATCTTGTGGAAGCGGATGATTCGGGTCCAAGGGCGTGGAAACTACTACGTGATGTGATTCAGCCCAACACTCTCCCAATGGTGATCCTGCTCGAGAAGGAACTTGCTGCCATCTCCATGCGACCAGGGGATGATGTGAAGCCGGTCCTTGACAAGATCAAGGACACCTATGCAAGGATGGCAGCAGCGGGCAGCAGTGTATCTCAGCTGCAGCAGTGCACCAAGATCATCTCGGTGTTGGACAACTCTTGGGACAACCTCATCCCCACCCTCAACTCTCAGCAAGATCAATGGACACCTGAGTGGCTAAGGCAGCAGATTCTGCAGGAGGACTTCCGTAGACGCCATGTGGGAGGCGGTGCTGCCACGAAGACTGCTGAGGGGTATGGAGCTGCAGGGCGCGGCAAAGGAAGAGGGGGTTGGAGAGGCCGAGGCCGTGGGAGGAGCTTTGGCAGAGGTAGAGGCCGAGGTGACTATAATGAGGGGCATGGAAGCTCCAGTGGCAGGGGGAGTACCAGAATGGAGGGCACCTGCTGGTACTGCAAGAAGATAGGGCATCCTTGGTTCAAGTGCTTCAGCAGGCCGGAGGGATGGGCACCTCCAGGCATGAAGCCGCCCAGTGGTGAACGCGCACAAGGTGGCGCTGTGCAAGGCTCAGGTGCACAAGGTGAAGGTGCACAAGGTAATGCCTATCCTGGTTTGTTTCTTATGGTTGAGGATGTGCATGGGCATGAGGGTGATATGGGATCTGTGGGAAAGGTTGTGATGCACCCTCTCACGCACTGGGTGATTGATTCGGGTTGCACCAGTCACATGACCCCACGGGCAGATTTGCTTGATGAGGTAAAACCCCCTGGGAAAATCAAGTATGTAGCAGCAGCGTCAGGTGCTTTGCTCCCTGTCATTGGTGTTGGAAATGCCAAGGTTAAGGGAGCTAATGGGGAGCTTGTGGGGCTTGGGAATGTCCTGCTGGTTGAAGGCTTGTCTGCTAACCTTCTCTCTGTGCGACGACTGCAGAAGAGCAAGGCCGAAGTGACCTTTGGACCAACCAGCTGCCGTGCTAAGCTTGGGAAGAAGGTGCTGTGGAGTCTGGAAGAGGAGACCAGCTGCATCAAGGACCTGTGGCAGCTGCCCATCATCCCATGGAATGGGAAGACTCCAACAGCAGCAACGGCAGCAGCGGCAAAGGCAACAGCAGGAGGAGATGCAACTACACCAACTGATGGGGTCCTGGAAGCAGTCAAGAAAGTGCAGCAGCAGCAGACACATGGTGAGGTGCTTGCTGGTGTGGATGCGAGTGCGGCATGGGCTAAGGCTTCATCAAGGAGTGGTGAGGCCGATTGGGAGGCATGGCATGAGAGGCTGTGTCATGTGAACTTCCCTATGCTGCAGAAGTTGGTGAAGGATGGAAGCCTGAAGGGCTTGGAGGTGAAAGGGGGAGTGAAGGAGATTGGGAGCTGCCCTACATGCTTGGAGACCAAGTTCTCCAAGTTCCCCTTCAACAGCACTACAGGACCAGCCAAGACCCCACTTGCACTTGTGCACATGGATGTGGTGGGGCCCACAAGAGCCCCTTCCCTCTCAGGCAGCCGCTATTTCTTGACAATTGTGGATGACCACACTCGGGCAGTGTGGGTTTACCCTTTGAAGAGCAAGGGGGAGGTGGCAGCGGCTGTCCTTAAGGAGTGGATGCCTAGAGCTCAGAGGGAATGCGGATACAAGGTGAAGGTGATCCGCAGTGACAATGGTGGGGAGTTCATTGGAGCTGATTTTGAGGGGGAGTTGAAGAGGAAGGGGATCCAGCATCAACTGACAGTGCCCTACAACCCGCAGCAGAATGGCGTGGCTGAGAGATTCAACAGGACCCTGCAGGAGGGGGCACGCACTCTCCTTGGGCGTGCAGGGCTGCCTGATCCGTTTTGGGTGTCTGCACTGAGGCAGGTCGCCCTTGTGAAGAACAGGGTGCTGGCTACAGTTGGGGATAAGGAGTGGATCCCATATACCAAGTGGTATGGGAGTGCTCCAGCTGTGAACATGCTGAGGGCATTTGGGTGCATGGTGGTGTTTCATGTGCCTAAGGAGAAAAGGGGGAAGTTGGAGGCTTCTGGAAGATGGGGTGTGCACTTGGGGATTGCAAAGGATCACAAAGGGTGGCTGCTATGGGACTTGACCACCCAGAAGCTGACAGTGTCAAGGGATGTGAAGTTTCTTGAGTCCCTGTACTACAAGGAATGGAAGCAGCAGCAACAGAAGCTTCCATCTACACCGCTCATTGTGGAGGCAGATGAGGTGCAGCGGCCTCCAAGACAGGTGGAGGTTGCAGTTTCTGAAGAGGAGATGTCTGGGGTGACTGAGGAAGGGGGAGCAGCTGAAGTGGAGCAGCAGCAGCAGCAGCATGAATCTCCACCTCGAGTTCCACACCCGCCTGAGCGACCTAGGAGGGATGTGCGCCCTCCGGTGAGGCTGACCTATGGGGGAAGAGGCAAGCCGAATGTGGTGCAGGCTGGGAGTGTGGTTGAGCAGATTGAGGAAGATGAGATCGCTCACTGCTACTGGGCACCAATCCCTGAGCCCAAGACTCGAGAAGAGGCCTTGAATGGACCAAATGGGGAGAAGTGGAAGGCGAGTGAGGATGAGGAGTTCGGGTCCCTGATTGAGAACGAGACATGGGACCTGTGTGACTTGCCTCCTGGAAAGAAGGCAATCACTTCCAAGATGATCTACAGGCACAATTATGGACTTGAAGGGGAGCTGACCCGCTACAAGTCTAGGCTTGTGGCAAAGGGGTTTCAGCAGACAAAGGGGAAGGACTATGATGAGGTGTTTGCTCCTGTGGGGAAAGGAACAACATTGAGGGTGCTATTGGCGATGGCTGCACTCCTGGGATGGAAGATACGGCAGATGGACATTGTGACTGCCTTTCTGAATGGGATCATTCTGGAGGAGGTGTACATGAAGCAGCCAGAGGGGCTGGATGATGGGAGCGGCAGGGTCTGCAGGCTGAAGAAGGCAATCTATGGCCTTAAGCAGGCGCCTCGTGCATGGTATCACAAGTTTGAGGAGGCGCTGGTGGCTGGGGGTTTCAAGAAGAGTGAGTGTGACCCCAGCCTGTTCCTACTGCAGGAGAAGGATGAAATCCTCATGCTCTTGGTGTATGTGGATGATATCCTTCTCTTTTCTGCATCCACTGCTTTGCTGGACAGCGCAGAGCAGATGCTGGAGATGCAGTTCAAGTGCTCCAAGATGGGTGAGGTGAAGTACTACTTGGGGATGCACATGGAGAGAGATGTGGAAAAGGGTGTGCTGAGGTTGCACCAGAGGAAGTACTGTAAGGGGCTGGCTGAGAAGTATGGGCTGCAAGATGGGGGAAAGCCAGCAACACCACTACCTTCGGGGTTTACTGTGGAGCCATGTGCTGATGAGGAGGTAGTGGGTGAGAGTGACAGGAAGCTGTTTCATTCGATGGTTGGGTCGCTGAACTATGCTGCAAATCATACACGGCCTGACATTGCATTTGCTACATCACGGTTGGCTAGTGTGGTCTCACGCCCTAGTCATGAGCAGCTGGAAGCGGCCAGGAGGTTGGTCTGCTATGTGAGCGCTACCGCATCAGTGGGATTGGAGTACAGTGGAGTGAGGCAGCGGTTGCAGAGAGGTGCTGCAGATGTGAAGAGTGGAGAGATGCTATTGAGTTGCTATACTGACGCTAGCTTCAACTCAGTGAAAGCGGATGGCACCAGCATTGGGGGTTATGTGTGCTTGCTAGGAGGTAGTGCTGTGAGCTGGCGCAGCAAGAAGCAGAATGAGGTGGGATTGTCCTCATGTGAGACTGAGTACATGGCCTTACACCATGGGGCCATGGAAGTAGTGTGGCTAAGGCGTTTGTTGGAGGAGTTGGGAGTTGGTCAGGAGAAGCCGACAGTTGTGTTTTGTGACAATGAGTCAGCTGTGTTGCTCGCCAAGAATGCTTGTCTGCATGGGCTGACAAAACACATAAGGCCTAAGTGGCATTGGGTGAGGAGACTCCTTGATAAGGAGGTGCGGCTGGAGATAGTGAAGACCCATCAGCAGGCAGCAGATATTTTCACCAAGCGTCTGGCGGAGGCGGATCATTGGAAGGGCATGAATCTTGCTGGGATGAGTGTGCATTGAGTATGCATGCTTGAGATGTTGGTATGGTGGATGATGGTTGGCAGCCAGAGGGGGAGATTGTTGTGTGATGTCATCATATGCTATCACATTCTGTCTGCCTCCCATCTCTTGTTTCAATTCGTATGTATGGTTTGACTGTGTGTGAAAGAATTTGTGTGTGGTGTGTTCTGGAGTTTGGGAATGTGTTTTGTGTTATTCTGTCTGAGCAGGTATTTGTGATGATAGATCTTGAGAAGATCTTTCCGACGCAACAAGAATCGCTTCAATCGGAGCAAGAACGCGAAAGCTATGAAGATTCAAAGTTCATGAGCTTGCGTTACAATTGCGGCGGTTACAAAGTGAAGTTGTGGGGTGACTCTATATGGAATTGGGACCTTTGGGGTTGGGGAAATTTGTCACTCTACTGTAACAGCTGCAAATTGGTTGGGAACAACCAAGCTAGGTTGGCAAGGGTGGCCAACTTGGATGGATTGGTTGGGAAGGGACAAATGTCAAAATTGGGGTTCCTATAGGGAGGGAATCTTTGTGCTTATGGGGTTTCCTTGGTTGGGGACTCTCTTGGGACCTTCCCTCTCGTCCCTCTCTTTTTATCCCAACCTTTCTCTTGCTCCTCCAATTCCTTGTGAGATTCTTGAACCTTGATTGAACTTTTGAGATTGAGTTAAGTTCTCCTCCTACAGCTTACCCCTCAGTGCGTCGAAAGACATAGCGTCGCGAATACTTCATGAATCGACGTGATTCAAATTGGGAACGGTAGCTGAGATTAAGAGCTACAACATCTCCAAGTTTCGCGACATTCCAACGGCTAGTTTTTCGTCGACGTCGTTTCTTGTGAAGACGACTTTTCTGTCCAGAATTTCGGATTTATATTTTGAGTATTTCTAGCTCCTAAGCACACCTAGACTCCGTCCTTAATCCTAACAGCTTTCCGACCACTCTACATAAAGTCTTAATGTTTAATGGCAGTACGTTTTGGGAGGGGCACATAGTGGATGTGTCCACAGCACAAAAATCCATGATACTACACTAGATCTAACTTAGTGCCCACCTGCACCCTCCTAGGCAAACCTTTACAGCGATCTTCTCGCACTCTTCCTGGACCCACGCTTTTGCATAATCGGGTGAGCACTAGGAAAATTGCGAAGGATTTGAGCGTATGCAAGAGTATTGTGCACGATTTTAGATTGAATGTTCTCTCTAAGACTAGCCACGGTGAGGTGTGGCCAAAGATGCCATAAGTCGATTGGTCCCGTCTTATCATGGATCGTTTTCGTCGTTCCATTGTAGGGTAAAATTACAAGCAGAGTGGCAAAAACTAGCGTATCTGCTGTGAAACTTAGGAAACATAGCACGGTTGAGTCTGCATCCTTACAGTATTAGAATCGCGCTAGGATCTGTAGGTCGCGTCACGGTGCAACTGTCGAAGAAGTCACGACTGCTAAAAAAGAATATCCAGGTTGATATCTGGTGAGGAAAAGGGTCACTCCAGCGTAACATACCCATGCTCTCCAAGCCATTCTAAGCCATGTGTCCCGCCTAGGCTTGGAATGGCTTGGAGAGCATGAGTTTGTAGCACTGGAGTGACCCTCTTCCACACCAGACCTGAACCTAGATATTCTTCCCCACCAATCGGGGCTTCTTCGACTGCTGCACCGTGACGAGACCCGTAAATTTTAATGTGATTCTATTTGTTAATGGGTGCACAGTCGACTGTGCTATGTTACCCTAAGGTTTGTGGTGGACACGATAGTTTTCGCCACTCTACTCGTAATTTTACCATGTAACGGTACGATGAAGACGATTCGTGATAAGATGAAACTAATCGACTTATGACATCTTTGGCCACACCTCAGCGTAGCTAGTCTTAGAGATAACATTCAATATGAAATCGTGCACAATACTCTTGCATACATACAAATACTTTGCGATTTTCCTAGTGCGCACCCGCTTGTGCTAAAGGGTGGGTCCAGGAAGAGTGCGAGAAGATCTCTGTAAAGATTTGCACTAAACTCGTAGATAACATGCCTAGGAGGCTGCAGGTGGTTATCAAGGCCAAGTGTTGGTGGACTAGGTACTAGAAACGTTGCTATGAAGTTTGCTCTTTGTCCTGGGAAATAATTGTCCGGATGTACTCTTTGTATAACTTCTGGCACTAAGTTAGATCCAGTGTACTATTACAGAATTTAGCGCTGTGAACACATCCACTATGTGCCCCTCCCAAAGCGTACCACCATTAAATATTAAGACTTTATGTACACTGGTCGGAAAACTCAAAAACCCTAATTAATGCAAAACATCCGGACAATTGTTTCCGTCACTGTAGCTTATTCAAGTCCCGATATTCTCCGCACATCCTCTTGCCATGCTCCTCTCCCATCACGTCCATACGTGTGGCTACTACCGTTGCTACCGCGTAATTTGAGTCGGACTCATGTATCCGCCCTGCATCCAGCAACTCCTTACACTTCTCATGCAGGGCAGGCGTCTCCGATCCGCTGCTGGTGGCCATCCCTCTTCATTGATTGCCTTCACTTTCTACTCCAGCTTTGCCCGGCATTGCTCCTCCTTCTCCCTCGCGATTTGCATCTCAGGACGGGCTGCCTCGAGCCACCCTGTGGTGTGTTGCTGCTTGTCTAACTGCAGCCGCACCATCCGTACCTATATGGTATGAAAAATCCAGGACATCGCCTGCACGTCCATCGCTCTCCCTAGCGCCTGGCATCTCTGCCACTCCTCGAATCCCTCTGCTGCTGTCGCCCTCTGCACCATCCCTAGCGCTAGTTCCCGCTCCAGCACCGTCGGTTCCTTCCATTCCTGCTTGGCATGGTCGTAGACCATGCCTGGCCCCGGCTGGTTCTGGAACTTGTTGAAGCCGTGTGCTCCTGCATACGCCACTAGCGCTGGCCATGCTTCCCTCGGTTCCCCTACCATGTTGCACTGATACTGCGCTGGGTGGTCTGGTTTCACTACTGGCGCCTCTGTCCGGTTCCGCTCCAGTATGTCCCTCACTTTGCGCGCTCTCGGCCGTTCCACTAGCGAGAGCTCGTGCTGCATGCAGGCTTCGGTCATATCATTAGTCCAATAGCACCTGACCATGTGTGCTCTGCTGCCGGTTTGCGCTGCGTCGAAGGCTACGCCTGCCCCCAGTTCCGAGGTTATCCGATGGTGGGCCTTCTTAACAGGCTCTCGCGGGTCTGCTGAGGCATCTAGGTTCTCTACGAGGTACAAGTAGCTCCCCTGCCTCCTTTTCAACCGCTTCATGATGCGCATTAGTTGCTCGAACTGGGCTGTTCGACGGTCTTGTAGGCCTAGCCCTCTGCCTGCCCACGATACCCCTTGGCACTCCCATCCCGCAATCAGCACATCGATTTCTCCCCATGCGTCCATATGCTCATCCGCCACCTGTCTCAAATCATGCACCAGATTACTCCAACTCCCTTCTTCGGCTCCGTCCAGTAACTGCCCCAGGAATTCCTCCCTCAGCCGTCGCACATGTTCTTTCGCCATACTGCGCGACCATGTCTCAAGCTCCACATGAATCCACTTCAACACCGTCCAGACTGCCCTCAGCATGGCAGCTAGCCCATTTCCGACGCCTCCGAACAGCTCCATAACTACCACCGGTCGCTGAGGGAGCTCCCAATCCAGGAGCAGAGGTGGTAAAGTCTCCCTCCTCGTTGCCCACTCCTCATCCGCATCCATCTCGTTCCAGGCCTCCTCATACTGTTCCCAGTCCGGTTCCTCCAATTGCGTTTCAGATCCGACATCCGAGCTTGGAATGCTGCCCTGGGATTCTGCCGCACGAATCGCACTGACAGCACTCCTCTAGGACCCTCTTCACTCCAGTACTGCTGCCTGAACACCACCTTCTCCTGCCATGTGCACAACGTCGCCCCGATCGTATACATCAGCTCCATGCCTAGGAGCAAATCGTAGTCCTCCAATTGCGACACTCCGCACTTCAACCGGATGCGTGTCTCCTCTTGCTCCCCTAGCAGCAGTACGATCTCCGCTGGTCGCCAAGTGCTCGGCATCCACTTCGGTTCTCCTCCTTCTGCGGTCATAAACAGGTATCCCCTTTCTTGCACTCTGCTCGGATCATCTAACCCCATGCGTGCCGCCAGCCCCCTCCCTAGGAGTACATGTTGGGCTCCTGTATCGATAATGGTTGTCTCCTTCGTGATGCCTCCCATGGTAATCGCCCTCCGCTCCACCACGAGCACCGTCGACTCGCATACCAGTCGCTCCTTGGGGCGCCTGTAGGAGGGATCTTCCATCTCCGGATCTGGAGCTAGCTGCACCTGGCGCTCCTATGCTCCCCTCACTGGCCTTGGCAGCACGGTCATCCGACGTGCCTCATTCGCCGTGCTGTGCATGTGTCGTGCGCGCACCATCAAGGCGAAGGACGCCTCACTTTCTTCCTCGTAATCTTCTTCCGGGTCCGGATATGCTTGATGTGCGCGGCTGGGCTCTCCTGTTGCTGACAACTCTGCGATCTGTTTCTGGATCCGTGCCATCTGCTCATGCAGCCCCTCCAGTGCCGCTCCCTTGGACTGCTCTCCCTGCTTCGCGTAACACTCCTTGACGCCATGACCCTTCTTCCCGCAATGACTGCAGACTGGGATGGTGGGGCATTCTCTCTTCATGTGCCCTTCTTCATTGCACCGGTCGCATGTTTGTGGTTTCTTGCAACCCTGCTGCAGGTGTCTGGATTCCTCGCATCTGTGGCAGCGGCGTCGGTCCTGCCACGTCCCTTCTTCCAGCGCTAGCGCTCTGCCTCGCTCTGGCCCGAGCACGTCCCCTCTTATCTGCTAGGGCAGAGGCGATACACTCCACGCAGCTTTTCTTCTTTCTGCCATCCTCTGTTCAATTCGCTCTAGGTCGTATTTACGATTCCCATGCTCAAATAGCGTCCCCACTTTGTATGCCCGATGCAGCATCGCCTGGCTGCCCATCTCGAAAATCTTGCCCTTCACCTCCTTCACCAGCGACTCATCCAATCCGCCCAGGAACTTGTTGATCAGCCGGGTCTCATCCTTGTAATCTAGATCTTCTGTGAGTTCTCTCAACCGGCTGTAGCAGGTCAGCAGCGATTCTCCCTTGCGCTGAGAGAAAGATGACAGCTCCTACATGCGCTCCGGCGTCTGCACTGGAAACTGCTCTCTCAGCTGCTCCAAGAACCGATCTACTATCTCCCACTCCCTCCCCGGCCGGTCTGCCCATTGCCATAGATAGTCCATCTTCACGGACCGGTAAAGGCGCTCCGCTTCCCCGCTCAGCGTACTCGACAACCCACGAAAGAAATCCTCGCCATCGTATCCCTCTTTCCTCCAGTGATAGCACACATTATCCAGCTGCATCATGTAAATTCTCAATTCTGCGCCTTCTCCAGGGATTCCCAAGAATCGGTCTGGCACCTTGATCTCTGGTAGGCTGCCTCCTCGCCCACGGGTCCCTCCCAACGCTTCCCTCAGCGGATCTTGGCTCACCCGCGCAGCGTGTAAGGCCTCTCCCATCCTTGGGCTCTGCTCTTCGCTAGCCATTCGCAACGGGTCCTGTGCGGATTGCATCCCGCGGGGCCTCTCGGACCGCTCCTCTTGGCGC